AGCTATAACAAAAGATCTGTTCATAATATTTAAAGAGGGCTGTTTCCTAGTAGTTTTGCAATGGCTTCAGGAGACTTAAGCATATGTGTAAAGATACAGGCCTGTAATGTGGTAACTTTCTTCCACTTCTCTTAAGTTTCTGTTAATTAAAGCATCTAGTTATACCACAGGCCAAAAGAGCCATTGATAGAAATAGGTAGCGTAGGCAGTCATTCAAATCAGCTGGCTGCTGGAAAGGGAAAGGGGATGGCAGTAAATGCCTGTGACCAATGCTTTAAATTCATATTCTTTTTTGAGAAACTGATAGAAAAACACAGATCCAAATACATGTATTCAGTCTAATACTAAACTGGAGCTTGTCTGTATGCCTGTGGTACAGGAAAAAACCTCACAATGTATTTTAAATTATTAAAAATTTGACCCCAGAGTATTCTGGGAAAATCCTTAACATTTGCAGGCTGGCATCCATTCAAAACTTACATTGATTTACTCTTTTAGCTGTGGATGCAAAGTGAAATCAGTTGAAATGAAGTTGCATCATCCTGTTAATAAAACAAGTCATAAAAATTTTATTGAGGCAACACTGTTCTCTGGAATCAAAAGATTTATAGAAATGCTTTAATGGATGTTCTTGCCAGCTCACTATGGGAAATTACTCCTATAAAAACACATGTTGGACTAGCGAAGAGGAAGGTGAAGTGAGAAAATGAATATGCAGTGCAAGCTGTAGTAAGGATCACCGCAGTCATATATAAGGGAATATCATTTCCCTTCATGAACAACCTCTTAAAAATGTTGAGTATCATTTGATTTGTCATTTAGCTAATGATATTGCTACAAGACAACAGATTTTTCCTGGTCCTGTATTTTTCTTTCATGCTCCTTTCCCAGAAAGGACACCTCTGCATTAATATCTGCAGTTTGATTTTTAATTCCACGAGCCTGGGTATGGAAAACAAACAAGTACACAGAACTCATCTGTATTACTGGCTATTGCTGCTTTTGGCAGTGTGCAGCCACGCCAATGAGAGATTGTCTATCTATCTCACATGTTGGGGAGAACATACATAGTGCTACTTAACTAAAAAATACAGTATGATACTGCTATGATTTTAACTGTATTATTAGAGAAGATACAAAGCTGATTTTTTTGTGTAATTGCCTATAGAAATTCCCATAGTTTCCTCAACCACTCTTTGCAGACGTAATGACCTCACTGATCACAGACAGGTCCTCTGCCTCCAATTCTTCTAAGCCTGGGCCAAACACATCAAGGCAAACCAAAAATATCCTTGGGAAATGCTTCTGTGATCCTTGATAAATGGAAAAACATTCATATTGTTCCTGGTTGGAATATAAATTAAATACAATTCTAATTTCACTCTAAGACTAAACTTGCAATCAGGGGAAAAAAAAAAAGAAAAAAGAATCCATCTCCCCCAACCCACCCCTGCCATGCTCATAGTATAATCAAGCTTTCAAATAGTCTAATGTCATAGTACAAACTGTTATTGATGAATTTGCAAAAGCCAATATGGCAACTGTCATGAATTATTCATGGCCGTTATTTATCCCCCAGTGTTTCTTGTAAACACAATAAATAGCATATATTAAAATTTTGTACCTGCATTCAGCATTGCTCATTGCTGTTAATGATTTTTTTGGGGGTCCAGACTCATATTCCAAGTCTGAACAAACATTTCTGGATGAGCATTTATGTATCCTTTGTCTTTATCTTTCCCCTCCTTCCTATAGAGGCTGTGGAGAGATTGATGTTTTCAACAATTAACACTCTTCAAAGAAATTCTGGTCTTTTGTCCTTTCTATGTCTCTTTTACCAGTGAATTGGAAACCAAACGAACTGAAAACAATGCGTTGAAGTAGCTGCAATACAGTTTCTGTCAGTAGAGGGCGAAGCCTAGCTAGACACGAAAAGCCTGGAAAGTATTTGTAATGCAGCCACTGGGGCGCACCAGAGTCAGGCAATCAATCCTCTCAATAAGCTCCCTAGTAGATTCGTTGGCGAACGTAAACAAAAATAATACCACACAGTGACTGGCTTCTAAGTGCAGACAGTGAGCCAGTTTAGAAGCTGTGCACAAGTGCCCAGGTATTTATCCAAGAATGGTAAACACAAAGACGAAGGAATCTGGAACACAGTGACCCACAGTCATGATGATTAACGGGAGTGCTGTTTGCCAAATGTGGATCTGAAAGTCTGTCTAGTTTCAGGGCATTGACAAATTTAGTTTTACTCAACATGGCAACAAGAGGCATTGGGGAGTTAAGCCTGGGGACAAATCCAGCATTCCCCCTTCAGATTTAAGGAAGATTTGGTTTGGGCCAACCCTCAACTGTCAAGTTTGGGAAATGGAATTCTGTCTGGGTTTTATTTGTCATCTAGTCAGTGAATTAATAGTGCATGCTGTGCAAAATAACAGCTTCATATTTTTCAAGGCTTGGAATGGTCAATAGATTGGTGTTATTGAACACAAAACATACGAGCGCAATATGGACTGTACAATTCAGAAGCCATTCACTAATGGAGACCTTCCCCCGATTACACATACCACAAGCTATAACAACACAGAATGGTTTGAATTAAGCTCACAAGTCCTGCCAAATTACAACAGAGCTATGGTCATTAGGTCTGTCCAGAACAAATGATGCAGTCTGGAAGCACACAAGGGGGGCTCTGTGAAAGCAATGACTAACAAACAGCAAACAGCTGGGAGAACTTAGATGCAAAAATTTGGTCTCACATCTGTAGATTAGTTTTTCTATGGCCTGCTATAAGACCTGGGGCTGTCTGCGCACTGCAGAGCCGAACTAGGCTCATTCATTCCTCTTAACTTCCAAAATGGACAAGGAGTGTTACCTAGGCCACATCTGTAGCCACAAGATCGAATGCAAACCTGTTATTTTAAGAGAAGGGAAATGAGGATGGCTTGATTTAGGAGCAAAGCTAGTAAAATAAAAATAATTGTGTTTTTAATATAAATGTTCTGTCTCTTGTTCACAAGATATTTATGCTCTTACTTTTACTGCAAATATTTCTGGCATTTGTTGAATTCCAAAGCTAAAGTTAGTTAGCAGAGCACTCAATTGTTCATTTAAACTGTCTGTTACTCATAGCATCGTCTGAGCAAATGCTGCTGGTTTTACTCTTTGTTTAGATGTTCCTTCAAAGACATACAGGAAGTGACAAATACCACATACAGATAGGAAAGCCATTTAGACAGGCTTCTATTTACTTCAAGAGAAAAGTGGATTTTTTTAGGTCAACTTTTTCTTTCCAAGATTATTCTCACAAAGAAATGAGTATGATCAGAATTTTATAGCATGAGAAAAACACGTGAAGAAATTTTCTTTAGCTTTACCTAGGAAAAAAAAGAAAGCGAGAGCAAGAGAAAGAGTGCGCAGTCATTTTGCAGCCACAAATTAAAATAGCCAGCATTCAGTGCAGTGAAACTTCTCATGTAATTGATAGCTCTGGAAGTTACGCCTACACAAAGTGCGGGAGAAATGAAGCCTCTCAATCAGTCTTGCAGCAGAAATGGAGAATTTCAAATGATGCCACCCAAAGGCTGTCTGCACAGAGCCTCATTATGTCCTCAGACATTAGCAGCTGCATCTGTGCTACACACACTGCTGCAGCATCCAGCAGTGACACACCATGACAGTGGAAGGTGCTGTAACGGCTGTTGTTGCCACTGGCACTCACTGGAAAGGCCCAATGGTTAATTGAATATTCACAATAAATTAATCGAAATATTTTGGTCTAAGTTACTACTCTTTGGTGGCAGTATATTGCTCTGCTTTAACTAGTTTCTGGAGTCAGGATCAATGCTTGTTATATAGAGATTTTCTTGCTGAGCACAGGCACGTTTGCCTGTGGAACTTATGTTCCGCTGATGTGTCTGGAGCATACACCTGATGGCTCTGGTAAAGGAGCTCAAGTATAAAGTCTCAAGTCTATTATTTTTCCAAAGGAGTGAGAGAACAGTTCATTCTCTTGCTGAGCTCCAGGATATAGTCCTGAAGTAACAATGGCACTCCTCGTGAACTTCCTTTGGGTAAACAAGCACATAACTTACTTGGAGAGGAGAGGAAAAAAAAATTCTTAACCCTTTGAGGGTTAACCCTTTTCCCTCCTCTGTCTCTTCTTATTGCCTGGTTTCCTTCACCTCTCAATGGCTCAGTTTGATTTTCTGTGACAGTTAGTGCTTCTCAAAACAGCATGGGTGGAAGAGACTTGCTTAATGTTTTCAAGTTGCTTATGAATCAACAGTCATGCTCTGCCTCCCTGTGCTGAAAATGAATCTTGAAATCCCATTTGGCTTTTTTTTTTCTTTGTTGCTACAGATACAAAGGTTTTAAAGGCAACTGCTCGATTTCCTTCATTGAGCAGTTCAGAGCCCTCCACCAGTGCAATAAGTACTGTGAGATGCTGGGGCTGAAATCTCTCCGAACCACTCATCAAAAACAGAGGAAAGCAACATCCATGAAAAGCAAAAATCTACCAAACTCATCAACTATAAAGAACACAGTGCCCAAGAAAGCAAGAGAACCTAGAGACTTCATTTCTTCAGAGCACTGAGTTGCACTGTCCCATCTTGTGAAAACTCCTCTCGAGGATATGTAGTAGTGATAGGCACCAGTGACCTTGTGGGGGCATAATTTTAGTCTTTTCCCTTATGACATTATTTTGAAGTCATCCTGATGCTGATGCCAGCAACAAAGAAAGGAGCTGATTCTATGGTCTCGGTACCTGAGATTTAACACTGGGGCAAGGTTTTGAAGACAAATTAAGCCATCTGCCTGGATTATCTTACAACCCTTCTATGTATTGGTATCTGCACATTTTGAGTCTTGGACATTGAGTGCATCACAGGTCACTGGAGAACATCTTCCCTTCTATGTGTCTGTGCCTGTAACCCTGTGGGTTCATCTGCTACCTAAACATCAGTATATTTAAGATGCCACTTAGTACAAGTTTTGTACAGTATTGTTGCTCAGGCTGCTATAGAAAAATTGTTTCCTTTCCCAGATATTTGCATGTTGTAATCCTGCTATAATCCTATTCTTGTAGTGGTTTTTTTTTGTCTTTTAATACAACACAAAGCCATTCATGATTGGACATTGCCCCCCACAAAATTAGCTAGCATCTTTAAGGTCCTCACAAAGTGATGTCATCAGCTTAAAGATGAGTGCCGTGGGTGATTCTCCCTAGAATTCCTTGCTTTCCATGCAAGCTTCCTTGAATCTACAGTGAACCTTATGGCACAGTACTGTTGTACTTGCACCGATCCTATTGTAGGATGCAGGTTTGGAGTCTGCATGTTGCCAAACAGCTACCATCTGAAACAAACCATTGCACATGGAGGGTATTTCAGTACCTTGCAGCATTTTCAACTAGAATAAGTACAATGACTTTTCTGTGTAGCATAGAGTTGTTTTTTGAAGGAACATGACAGGTGCCCTGGGCCAGTACCTGTCTGCTGAAGAGTTGTGATTTATCCAAAATGCCTAGGCAGGGCCAGAACTGAAAAAAGATACTGTGCTCCGTTAAACTTAAGTGTAGCTTATGTGGAGATTTGCAGCCAGAGGAGGGAACTGTGCATGTCAGAGGACGGCAACAAGTTTACTGGAGGTGGCAGCTGAAAACCCAACCTGCAGTGCCTAACACAGAATACAAACACTGAACATTGTCAGACTTCTTATCCCTGTGTGATTACTAAATAACAGGCGGTGCCAGAAACCAATACCTGTGTGTAGGAGTCCCATCAGTTCTGAGGAAGATAAAAGCGATTTCAGACTAGGTTCTGCTTTGTATTGATAAGCAGTGGGTGCCAAATAAGAGATAAACTGTTGGGGACTAGCTGACGCTAGGGACAGAAACTCATTCTGACTGCAATGTAGATGTAACATCTAGGCTTGTCATCCTGGGCTCCCTGTATGGTTAATGGAGGTATTCTCAATGGAATTTAGAGCAAAGTGCAGGTCATCTGAAAAACGAACATTTGAAATAGGTTAGATTAACTGTGCCAAAAAAGTGCCTGTGTCTCTCCATTGAGGGAAGAAGCAGCAAAGTGTCAGACAGACATCTGCATTTTAAATTCCTACTGTTACGTGGGATGAAGTTCTCTAGAGTTGCTCTGAAGCATTTGAGTTTTTAATAGTTTTCTGCTAACTTAGGTGGAGGAGACCAACTACAAAATGGTATTGCAGAAATTAGGATAGTATTATAGTGCACATAAAATGAAATGTATAAAAGACTATTTGAAAGATGAGTTTTTAAATAGAAAATGCCAAAGGAAGGTGAAAACTTTGAGTGTGACTGAAAGCTGGGTCAAAACATTGAGAATGAAACCTTGACAAAACAATTACAGTGTACTGAGGATGGGAAGCCATTCATTTCAAAATAAAGGTGAATGACAATGCTGTGCTACTGCAGAGAATCTGAAGTTTCACAAGAGAATGGAGGTAGAAAAGTATACAAAGCAGAAGTTTTGAAGGAGTTATCAAACACAGCAGTTAGAGGGAGATGAGGCAGATAGTCCTATTGATACCGGCTGTGCTGTAGGGAAGAGGTTTTTCCAGGGAAGTCCCACTGTTCTGGTGTCTCCGTTCTTCAAACCAGGAACCAGTCTGAGTTTGCCACATATCTCTCTCAGCGTAAAGGAAGTCGATTCGTGAGAGAGAACGAAACACCGCGCACGGCCAGACAGCGCACCTCGCGGTGGGGATGGCAGCAAGCCACTTCCCGCTGCCACCTGGCAATCATCAGTGCATCATTTATTTGAACCTGGAATTCTGTACTCTGTTGATGCTTATTGCTGCTTGCGGTTCTGGCTAGCTTTGGTGGGGAAGAGAAGATGTTGGGAATGAGGCATATGGGGTGCTCTGTCATGTTGCAGCTGGAACCGTTGGGTCAGTCAGGGGCAAGAATGTCAGTGCCAGGCAGTTAGCGTGAAGCTGGCCAGCCAGCCTGGGGACCGTGCTGTTAGGCCAACACTGTGTGTTGTGTGTGTCGGTGGGCCTACCTGAGTAGCTGGATTTGATGTTTTGCATTCATCTTTCAACTAGAATTGAAATCTCTACTCAAAAGTTAATTTTAATTTTCTTATTATTGATCTCGTGGAGTAAATGTGTACATGGAGCATTATATAATAACAAGCCATTATATTTGGATTAAATAGACATACACCCAGCTAAAACGGATATTTTTCCACTGCTCAGGAGTTTATTGAATGTATTTTGTTTGTTAATAGACATATTACATTGCTGATGTATTGCAACACTGTGTGAGTCATAATTCCTGAATTTTTGTCAGTGGAAAGTCTAACTGATTATAATAGGAAAACCTGGCAATACCCTGGTTTAAAGCAGTAATTTTTCTGTAACAGAAAAAAAGCTTCATTTTTAATAATGTCACATGATCCTGTTAAAACTCATTGCCCTTGAGTTCAGCTATATGCAATTACATTGAAATAATTATACATTAATAGCTACCAAAAGTAGAAAATGCTTGACTGGTTACCTCAGGTTAAAGCCATCCTGACAAGTTTTAAAACCTTGCTCTGTCATGATACTCAGATGATTGCTGTTTGGCGTATCTAAGGAAAGTAGAGAATTGAGTCCTTGCCTTTTGTTTCCTTGTTGCCCCATCCTCTTTCACACTTGCTGAGCTGTCTGTTCTGCCCGTCTTGTTTGACAGGTAGGAACTCTGTGGCAGGAATACTTGTCTATGCAGGCCCCTCTCAAAAACATCCTCAGTTCCTTACTGACGTTTCTGGGTCATGATATAAAGAGTTTAAAATTTAGATAATCTGACAGTGACACAGAGAGAGCTCCAGTGTGCATGTCAAAAACTGATGGGAAATGATGATGATGAACAGACTGTTTGTCTGCCCATGTCTTAATTTTCATGTCAGATTTTTTTTAAAATGACTTTGCTAATAATTGCTGTTCTTTGTAGACTGATAACTAGCCACTCTACCCACCTTAGTCTTGCTGTTACAGAAAATACATATATACCCTGTATCAGGAAGTATTTCCTCACTATCTGAAAAAGAATGAAAGCTGAGTGCATCTAAGCTCAACTTCATACAAAGGTCTAGACCAAGAAATCAGACTGAGAAAAGGAAGTTTGGTCCTATTTATGTCGGTTGACTTCAACGGCAGAAGAAAGATTCACCTAGTAGAACTATGGTTTTACCTTGGTGTACCTATGTTACCAATATGCGTCAGGTGGATGTCTGCAAAATCATAAGCAGTGAAATAATAATTATCAGTAGGGTAAACAGTATTCTCATCGGGCTCTAGATTTAATGGCCCATTGAGATGAATGGGAGAAACAGCTACCTATTTTACAGACAGTGTTTTAATCTGAGCCAAAGTTTGCTTTTTGCCTTTTACATAAGGGAACCAAAGCATGGGTTTTGTGAGCAAGTCAAATAAATATGTATTCTAATCTCAGCAGAGACATCAGCAAAGCAGAAACTGGAACCCATTTTTTAAAGGAGCGCTTAGAGGTTAATTCTTGCTGCTAGCAGTTGTGTTATTATATTAAATATTCTTAAGCACACACAGAATGAATGAATTGCATTGTGTCCTGATAGCAATTTTAAAATGTTATGCTTTTCATAGGGCATCACTGTAGTTTAGGCTGAAGCACTAATGCTTTGTGATTTAAATTCTATTACACAGACTATGATAAAACACTCAAGAATGGAGTCAATAAAGCTTCTACAGGATGTTTCTTCTTTTTCAAAAGTAGTTAATCACATGAATGGCCTATAGGTATTGAATTTTTAGATGTATGTGTCCCTGTAGATGAACTGATATTTCTACGTGTTCTTTCACAGTTTTTAAGTGCTTTAAAAAACATCTGAGCTCCAGTGGTAGTGTTTTTCAAAAACACCTAAGGGATTTCAGTGTATAGGTCCATATCCACAAAATATGAGGCACATAACTCTTAAGTTGATCTTTTTTCCAAAAAGTGTCTGTGATCCTTAGAACTTCATTGCTCAGTGGAAACGGGCCTCCTCAGTCCCTTTTGAAATAGAACCTTGAGTACGTTTGAAAATGTCACCTGAATGTTCAGAAGTGTTCAATGGTAGCAATGAATGAATCAGAGTACATCAGTCCTCCACGGATTCAAGAAGACAACTTGCGCTTTTGAAGACCAGTGCACAGTTGCTGGGAATCAGCTGGTTCCATCTTTAGATCTTAAATAACAATCTCACCCACAAGGAGAAAGTCAGTGGGTATTGAAAACAGTCAGCCTGGTCCTGAAATACGGGGAGATATGTCTGGGGTGCAGAAGAATTTTCTCTAAAATTGGAAAATTGAGAAACTTTTAACCAAAATGTCTGCAGCATTTTTTAACCTGTGCAGGAAGATAGATCCTTGCCATAGAAGTTAGATTATTCTTCATTTCAAGTTTCCAAATGAAAAATGCCAGAATCTATGACTGACTAGTCTTGGATGAATAGATCATTGCAGCACTGCGATACGTATTCCCAGTCCTTATGCATACACCTGCTTTATAAATTGCTCGGCCCCAGGTCTCCAGAGGATGCAACTTCAGAAGGCAGCTGATGTATTTCAAATGCTGTGCCTTGAATATTTATCCACTTCAAGGAGATGTAAGATGGAGGACCCCATTAGAAAACAGGCAGTATGTTTCCCAATTCATTCCCGATAACCACATAGCAAGAGAAATTTGTATGCAATTCTTATTGGAGGAACTTTTCAGTATAACTCCTGCAGCTTAACCTCACATAACCTATCAGTGAACTGCAGGGATATAGCTCCTTATGCATTAATTTCTTTTTTTTTTTTTAAAAAAAAAACTTCAGCGTATCTAATACTTGTGTGGGTGTTGTAAAGGTCGTGCTGCTCTACAATAAAAGCCTTCATAAATAACTTCATTTTTGAGTTTTAAGAGCACAGTAGTAAGAAAGTAATAGGGAGAGAGAATTAATCTACACTGCTATCCCCACAGAGCACGAGGGGAAGGTTAGGAACTGTTTGCCCACATGGATGTTTGAATATTTTGAATGGGTTTCCTTTAATAACATTACAAGTAGAGGCGAGCCTGTACTGCCATTCCACCACTGGA